GGTTATTGTGCCTAGTGGTTTCTTAAAGAATCACGTGGCATGGGGGTATATCCTCTGAATCTTTGTACGTAAAACTGTCCTTCACCTCATATAGGTAAAGGAAAAGACAAGCTGCCAGGGTGTACAATTCTCAGAAATGTTTCAAACTGGAGAACTCATCTTACTCCATCAAATTAGAACACTTCGTAAGGAAGAATGCGAATTTGGTTGAAGAAGGAAATAGACACCTCGACCCCTCCCTTCCTTGACCCCACCCTTAAAGATGCCTAATCGCTGTCACGGGGAAGACAAGAAGGGAAATGATGGTGGAGTATTCAGAAGAACATGTATGACTGTTTCAGTAAGCAGCTGAGACAGGTGTGGGGCTTCTAGATTTCTTGCTGAAGTCTCAGGCTAGTCTTGCTCCAAACTTGGATTCAGAATGAACGCAATAGTACTTTTGAGCTTTTCCCTAAACTCTTTCTGTCCCTTATCAATCTGTAACTGAGCGAAATCTTCAGAATTAGTTAACGTCCACTCTAACTGGATGCTGATATACTAGAAATGCTGAGAGATTTTTGAGGTTTACCTGTTCCTCTCCAGACACGTCCCCCTCCCCTCCTCTCCCCCCCTTCCCCTCCCTTCTTTCTTCTCCTTTTCCATCATTTTCTTCTTTTGTGGTACAGGGAATTGAACCTACTACATTTCCCCGCCGTTTTTTTTATGTGGAGACAGGCTGTCAGAAAGTTGCTGTTTCCCAGGCGGATTCAGGCTTGTCATCCTCCTGCCTCGGCCTCTCAGAGGGCTGGGATTACAGGTTTACGCCACCGTGCCAGATCAAGATTGGTACCGGGATCGAACTCGGGCCTTCGTGCTTGCAGGGCAAGCGGCGAAACCACTGAGCTCAATCCCAGGCCCCTAGAAGCTCCTTTCTTGGTGATTCCTGCCTCTGAACTTTTACTTTAAGCCAATCTTTATTATCACTTCTCACATTGCACTGTAATGAAATTACATTGCCTACTTTGACTGGAAGCGTCGCGGGAAGCTGTGCTGTATTCATCTGTGTGTCTTCGGTGCTTGGCAGTGAGAAGAAACTAAAGCATTTTAATTAAAGAAACTTAAATAAAATTAAAGGTCATTTACAAAAACCTACAGGGCGTCTGTGAGATTGCTGTTTGCGGGTAACGTGATTGTAAGAAAACACAACTAAAGCTGGACCCTCTGAATACCCACTGCTTAAGCATTCCTCCTTCATCGGCGCCGAACTGCGGTACCGGGCGCTGGGCTGGGCGTCCGAGAGAGGAGAGGCCGGCGTCCGGCTCCAGGGGCTCAGGGACCCGCGGGGAAGCCGCCCCCACTTAGTGCCCTTTACCTCCCCGCAGGGCAGAGGACCCCGGAAAGCCAGCAGATCAGACCGTGAGCACTGCGGGAGGTCGGGGCCAGGCCTCACAGACCTCAACGCGGGTAAGTCGAATTAAGGCTAAAGACAACAAAACCCATTGATTGTTTCACCAAAAGAACTTTAAAATGATATGATGACGAGACGATGCAGAGGGGTATTTTTTTTGTTTGTGTGATTTTTCACAACGTTCTCTGCCCTCAGGGCCACGGCCCGGACTGGCTCTCCGCGGCGGCGGGTGACCCCGAAAGGTGTCTCCGGGGGGCCTAACCGTCCAGTCGCGGCCGCCGGAGGGGACTCGG